TAATCCAATCCAGTCCAAATGATTTAATTACATAACTTTAATCACCGCAAAGCCTGTGTGTTTTCCTTGCTCTGCTCTGCGCTTTGAGCTTCATTAAATTTAACAGAGATCCAACACACTTTTTCTTCTCTCTAAATTGGAGCTAACGGATCTCTTCCACAACTTTAATCACTGCAAACCCTGTTCTTCCTTGCTTCCCTTTGAGCTTCATTAAATTTAACTAATACCCATTACCCAACACTTCATTTCTCTCTATCTTCAACCAAATTAAGTTCTTACACAGCTTTAATCACTGCAAAAGCCTGTTTTTCCTTGCTTACCTTTAATTAACACTCTTTTTCTTTTTGCCATCTCATTGAAACCCACAAACACATCCCTCTTCAGCTTCAGGTACCTTAGCTGCCCTTGTTTTGGTGTGATTCAACCAACACTCTCTCTCTCTCTAAAATCGTAGAGAGAGAAGGAAACTCAGAGAATAACCCAAAACCCAAAGAATCCAGAGAGATATATAAGGATGAAGAAGAAGTTGCATTTGATTTAGACAAAAACAATGGAAGAAGTTACAAAGATGAATGCTTGTTAAGAAGAACGAACCCTACAAATCTCACCCATCAGATTCAAAAAAGAAACAAAATTTAAACTCATCAGAGATTCCAGGACTACATCATATATATATAACTATTTACAAGTATATAAAAATCTCTCCCTAATCTCTCTAAGATCCGGAGTTGCAATACTTCTGCAAAATCCCATCTGGGTTTTATAGAGCATATTGCATTTTCAACCAAATCAAAACAAACCAAACCAAAACAAAACCCAAATCATCTGATTCTGATTTTCTGATCTTTCTCTAAACAGGGGATCTCATGAATCGCTGTAGTTATGCCAACAGATGAGCATGGCAACACAGCGCCTCATGATGTAAAATCGAGCCCTTTGTTCTTTTACCAATTTGGCACATTTTCTGGTAAAAGAACGCCTCCTCTCAGAAGAATTTCTCATCAGAGGACAGGAAGAAGAAGATGATCGGGTTCTCGTCGGAGCCTCTTTCTTGGGCAGCTTCCATTTCTCCTCCATGGAAAAGGGCGGCGGAAGAAAGGTAAGCCCTTTAAGAGTGAAATGTGAAGTGGGGTTGGGGAAAGGTTGGAGCTTTGGCGAAGATGGAAGGTCGAAGAGGATTATTAAGGCTTAGAGGGAAGCTCCGACGGTATTTATAAGGGGAAAAGAGGCCATAAAAGAGGTTCAAGAAAAGGCCGTGGCAGTGGATATCACTTCACACACCTGTTTTTTCTTTCAGAGATACGCCATTATAATATCATATATATATATATTTTATGAATTATATGTATATATTTTTTTTAAAATAAAGAATCTAATTCGAGTAATAACCCACACGTCATGGAGGTCTACTAATTTAACCACTGTAAAACGGAATTCTGGGGATTATAAAAATGGGCTCTTTTTACCGTTTTTTACTTCAATGCCAGCTGTCCAGGGTAATTCTTTTGCTGCCGTCATTTATTGGTTTGAAACTGGGATCATTTTAGATTCAAGATCATGCGTGGTCTCGTGAGTTTGTATTTACACTTCAGAGGTGGAATTTTTTAAACTTCAACCTAATTTATGCAAACCAAATATTGGCTCCACTTCTTTTTTATCTCATAATTTTTCACTCCGATTTTGTAACACTATTAACTACCACCGCTAATAAATATTATTTGTTTTGACTCGTTACGTATCGTCGTTAGTCTCACTATTTTAAAACGTATTTACTAAGGAGAGATTTTTATCTTCTTGTAAAAAATGTTTTATTCCCCTCGTCAACCAATGTGAGATCTTACAATCCACCCCTTCGGGGCCAGCGTTCTCGTTCACACACTATTCAGTATCTGCCTATGATACCATTTGTAACACCTTAAACTCATCGTTAGTAGATATTGTCCGCTTTAACATGTTACATATCACCGTCTTTGAATGAAGCTAAAACCTTGTAATATAAACCTTAAATGAAGCATATTTTATAAGGCCAACCATCCTTTAAGGCTTTTAGTTTTTTCTTTTCCAAACTAAAAAGAAAATGACATTTAAACCACAATATATTTACCAAGATTTTCAATCATTAGGAAGCTAACTTACATCTCACATACTAATTTTGACTATACATTGAAAACGGAAATTGACAATTCAAATCAACTGATTTTACCAGCGGAGGTATGTGGGAGATTGGGATATATCCCTTTAACACTCCCACCTGTTTATTTCACACAACAGATTAAACAAATTTGTTCCATTCTTTTGGAACACCCTCAAATCCAAAGACCCAAATAAGCTAAAGAACCCTAAAACTTTTCCACACCAAGACAGACAGAGAGAGACAGAGAGATCTGAAAGATGTCCACAAATCTTTTGGCAATCCCAAGTGAAGTTTTTAGGAGAGAAGTTGGAAATGAAAAGAGGTGGGGTTTGACAGTAAGTAAGAGAGAAAGAGAGGGAGGCGATTGGTGAAGTCAGGTAGGCATGGTGGGGGCTAAAGATCAACCAGAATTAGAAAAGTAAAGGGGGGAGTTGATGAAGAGTGACATATCAGAGGTTTGAATGATGAATCGTAAAAGATTTTTTCATTTTGAGCCTTTTTTGTACAAGTGGTGAATCACAGAGAGAGGGGGTATGAGCCTGAGCCTGAGAATTCGCCCATCATGATTCTTCACTTCTTTTTTTGATATTCAACAAACACACACAACCCCCTGATGTGATATGTCAAGTCTTTTTGGTCTCTACTCTAAGCAACTTATTCCCATTTGCAATCTCTCTGCTTCACTCTCATTCTCGTCCTTCCCATATCTGTATCTTTTGTATCCATGAATGCTCCTTTTCATCACTGCACACATCATCTAAGTTGCTATATTACATGACAGATTCACACCCAACTATGAGAAAACAATGTTTGTGAGTCTGAGGAACCCATATTTCATCCATATAAAAAGAGGGTTATGACACAGATTGATAATCCTATGTGGGATTCGTCCAAGTTGCCATGCTATATGGCGTGACCTTAGAGCTGGTTGACATTGATTCTCAATTTTTAAACTACCAAAATGTAAAGATTTGTTTTGGACCTATAAAACTTGTTTGTCAAAATATGAGCTAGCTAATATTATAGGCTATAAAAATATCAAACTTCTACGACCCACATCTCAAACAACCATGATAGCTCTTATGGATCATAAATTTATAAATAAATATCAAAATGACCAAGCTTGTCAGGATGTATTGACTTGTGTAGCTGAGTCTATTTCATGTCCATGCAACCATGATGGAGTGCGTATGCCTCCATGTATTGAAAATGCATAATAAAAATGCAAAAATGAAAGTCGAGAAAAACAGTTCAGAAAATTCTTTGAAATCATTTTATCAACATTAAAATGTGTTCTTTCAAACACTAACAAAAAAGGACAACTAAAAAACTATTACACTTTGAAGGTAATTATATGCTAAGACACGATTATATATGTCATGACAACAGCAGACATTACTTTCTTACATAATGACAGAGTAAAAAAAGATGAAAATGATTATATGATTAAAATAAAAGGAAAAGGAAGTAAGCATGAAAATGATCAGTAGCTCTCTCTTTGCTTTCTGATCCCCTTTTTTCGCTCATTGGATGAGCGAGGAATCTTTGACTAGCAATTCGAAAACTTCCAGCTGCAAAGAAAAACGCTTGCAACTGCAAGCAGGAAGGGAAAAAAAACGTATGCTTTTGGCTCATTGTCTGCATGAAGACCTAAAAGCAACTGAATAGTTAAAGAACTAAAAGCGCAATCATTATGGGTTTATTGAAGGCTTGAGCCAATTGGTTTGTTTAATTTTATAATCTTTGGAAAATGTTTTGATTCCATTAGGGATTTCTGATGTGAGTCTTATTGCAAATCTTGTCATATTCATGTTTTCTATATAGAATTCGAGATGCTCTCTTAACTTTTGAGCTTGAGATTCCTTCAGTTGTTGAAGAACTCTGTTTTCTTTTGGATTGTTCAGATCAAATGCCTACCTTAATCAGTTAACTAATGAATAAGAATACACGAGGATGCAAAAAGAAAATACTGGAGTTATTTTTTGGGATTGGACGAAAAAAGTTAATGATTTTGGATACAACAAAACACGGGTAATGTGTTATTAAGTAACGGGTCAAGTCCACCACTAGCAGATATTGTCCTCTTTGGTCTTTCCCTTTCAGGATTTCCCTCAAATTTTCTAAAACGCGTCTATTAGGAAGAAGTTTTTACATCGTTATAAGAAATGCTTCATTCTCCTCTTCAATCAAGGTGAGATCTTACAATCCACCCTCCTTGGGGCCCAAGATCCTCGCTAGCACACTGCTCCTAAGAATGCATTCAAGTCCCTCTTGTTTACATCTTTTTTTGTTTGTTCTTTACATTTTTGTTAATGGCATGGGTGAAAAGTTTTATTTCGTTTATAATATAAAATTGTACTTAAAAAATAAAAAGAGTCCTGGTATTTTGTTCTTATTACTACTTTATTTTATATTATAAATGACGCCTAAAATTTTTCTCTACACAATATATATATGAATGTCAACAAGAATAAAATAAGCTTAATCAGTAGATTTTGCATATGCATGACATGGACAACACTATTTTTAATGAGAAAATGTTGCAAAACTATGGTGTTAATTTAACTTCATATTAATACAAACAAGGATTTTATTCTAAATTTGGTCAAGTCAAACCTTTCTCTCTCTGGCTGCCCAAAAACAAAAGCACATGATCCCATGTGTAGTTGTAAAACTAACCTAAGCCTTAAACTGATCTAAAATATTACCAACCCAACTAATTTCATTAATCCCACTGATATATTCAGGCAAAAATGGGTCAAAGTCTAAGCACACGAGATTCTCAAATAGAAAAGAATTCGACTAAAAGGCTATCACATTCATCCCCATCAGAGTTCAAAAACCGAAGCTAAAGAAACTGTAAGAATGCAAGTGAGATGATGGCTTTAATACAGAGCAGACCAATGTACTAAAACAGAGCAATTAAATTCCCAAACAGTTTCCCTTCTCAAGGGGACTCAAAGCTCAAAACATGTGCAATTAGCTAGCTTTCTGGGTTCATCAACTTGGGTTAAATGCATTTAGTCCACAAACAAAATTTATCCGAACATTTCAGTCATAGCCAAAAGGAGTTTTTTGGTACTACTAACCTCACGAGTCACCAGACAACTTCTCCAACAAGCACAAGATATGGTTGTCCCTTGATTTGTCCCACAGGCATTTCGTCGAACACCTTGGGGACACTTTTTGTTTGACCCCATCAAATGATTGATTCTGATCATTGTTCAGTGACCCAAATCGTGGATTCTCATTTAAAACAGTACTCGGTCCTAGCTTTGATTTGGCATACAAGCTTTCACTTTCCCCCAAAAAGACATGTTTCTTCTTGCTCAAATCTCAAATCCCCAACCAGTGCCTTTCTTCAATGAACAGAGAAATGAAGGCGCTGAAAGTGAAATTGCAACATCCATTAACCAAATGCCCACATTGTTCATTTAATTCAGATTCATGAATCTCAATAGCATTCTTTTCCTTTTGTTTTCTTGATTTGAAGCTCAAACAAACCTGGAAGATTAATTGTGCTCATACGGCTCGGGCCAAAGACATGGAAAAAATTAGATGAGATGGAAACCAGTGAGCACCAAAAAAAATGGAAGATCATAGTATCTTTATTGATCGAGACCTTTTGTGGAAGTCAAAGTAAAGTGCTCAAACTAGACAATATCATATACTATTGTGGAGAGTAATGATTCTTAACTCATCGGGGATGGGGATAAATTTGTGAAGAAGCCAGCTGATGAATCAACTCCAACCTATATTACTCCATAATTAAATTGAATTTTAAATTAATTAATCTCAAACACTAAATTAAAAAATCATAGGTTAACCAGCTAATTAAACTCACAAATAATTCAGCTAATTAAACAAAAAAAAATTAAAACAAAGGTACTGAATCATAGATAAATAGAATTATAATAATCTATATATAAGAATCCGTTGGAAACAAAGATTTGGAATAGTGAAATCCAAGTTAGGAGAATAAACAAATAATAAGAAGAAAAAATGGGAGACAACAAAATCGTGAAAGATGATTTTGAGTGCAGACCAAAATTGTGTCTCAATAAATTTTAAATTACAAAATAAATGTTAATGAATATATTTGTTTTAATTAGACGGAATAAATAATGGAAAAAATATATGAATAAAATCCAATCACATAGCATCACCAATTTGAATAAGAAAATTCAAATAATTGGTTGACTCTTTATAATGGTATAATATTGTCCACTTTGAACGTAAGCTCTAGTACTTTTGTTTGTGCTCTCCAAAAGGCCTCGTACTAATGGGGAGAGTATTCTTTCATTATAAACTTATAATTATTCTTTAAATGAACGAATGAGACTTTCATTATCCAACCATTATTATTATTATTATTGGGGAAATTGATAATGAAATTAAACTCATTAATTTGCATGTCATAAAACAAATTAAGTAATTAGAAGGAATAGGCAAAAACCCCATAGATTATGGCATGTTCGTAGGTTAGGTAGCAGAATCTCTCTTAAATAAATTAATCCAAATTATATATATATATATATATATACACACACACACACATTTCTTTATCTTTGTTGTGCAGCTTTATCTCTTTCTTTTATTTTATGATTTCCATTTGGAGACAAAAATATGCAAGTTGGACATGAAAAAAAAATATTTTTTTTTAATGATGTGGCCCAAATTTTTTTAATGATATTTTATGTACATTTTTTTTTTATAATATTGATAATAATAATAATAATAATAATTAAAAAATAGGTATAATTAATAATTCTATTTTGCTACGATATCAATGATGCATAATGCGGTTCAACAATAAAAGAAAAAATATATATATTGTATCAAAGTGAATAATTATGATGTAAAATTGATAAAGATCTGTATGTTACATGTTTGAATCATTTAATCTATTATATATATATATATATATATATATATATTAAAATTTAAAATATCTTTAAAAGAATAAAATATAAGATCTGACTATAAGAAAAAATTTGTTTTTTTCTTTATTAATTTCGGTATAACTCAACTATTAAAATATTATTTTTTTTATGCATTTGATTAGGCGGGCTTAATTGACTTAAGATGCATGGATTAAGATTGTGTTAGAGATGGCTATGGGCCTTTTTAGCTATTTTAAGTAACAAGCCCTTAGCTCAAGTATTGAAATTTTTTTTTCCTTAGGTTATATGTCTTATCTAATTAATTAAGATGAGTAATACGCTCTAACTCAATAATAATTTTATCCATGAAATATTTAAAATGAAAATGGTAGAAATATTAAAAGTAATGTAAGGTAAACTGAACTATACTCATGTTGATTTTGTTCAGAGGTTATTACGTACATATACATCTATTCTTGGAGCAACAAAGCCGAACAACACCTCCAAATCCGGCGGCCGAAAGTACCCGTCCTTCGGCGGAGCCTTGCGCTTCAAGCTAACCGCCTTCTTCCTCGGCGCCGCCGGGCACAACACCGTCACCGGAATCCGGCAGCTCTTCCGTCGCGGCGTGCGGCATATATCCTTCTTTTCCTCAGCCATGATACTCCAATTGAATCCTGAAAGTTCGGAGAAGCTGAATTTTGAGAAGATTTAGAAAATTGGAGCATTAGATTCAGAATTTATGTATGGAGATGACAGGGGCTTGTTGCGGAAGATAAACAGAGTCCAAAAACGTGCAGCAGAAGAAAGATATATGACGTGGCGAGAGATCGAGTCTACCATAAGCTTCATTTTGAATCTCCACCGTTCGATTGTTTTCCCGCCTTCTTTCTTAGCGGCTGTAATTCATTGTTCTTCTTAATGCCTTGGTGGGGCCCACAGCGAACAGGATAAAAACTCGGTGTTTCATTAACTAATAGTTGTATGGTATTTACTATTTATTTAATTTTTTCATCTCTATTTGGGAAAACATTGAATGTAGTTACTGCCTTCATTTACTATTTTCACCTTTTTCTTTTTTAACCTTTTAAGTCTCATGGATTCAATAATAATATTTGAAGTCTATAATGTTTTTAAGATTAACTAGCATTAGTTAATTTAAATTTAATAGCTCAAATATTTACTATGAAACTTTAGGATATATGTAACATATTTCATGTGTTACATGTTTCAATTAAATTATTATCAAAGTTAAACATGTATTATAATAATAAAACAAAAAGCATACTTCTATCATAGAGCTGTCATATCATAACTCAATTGCAGTAAATGGGTTTGATTGAAACAATCTGACAGATGTAAATACATTAATAACTGTAATTAATTTGATAACTTCATATTAAACTAATAATATTAAAAATAACCCCTTTTAGCTATTTTAATAAGATATTTATATTGAGAGTCGTGTCTAGCCTAGTCAGCATCACATTTATGTAGTGTCTACATATTTTTAATGAAGATATTAATAAAAGTTTCACGTCTCTATTTATTTTATATTGATATTAATAAAAACATTAATCAAATGTCAATCTCACACCCATTTCAAAAAAAAAAATCATAAAGTCATGAAATTTATTAAAAGTATATATACACACAATATTTTTCTATATTTAATACGTAACAAAATTGTCAATTTAATTAAAAGAAATTAGACTATGGTAAAAAAATGTTACTTATAAAATTTAATGTACAAAGAATTTGATAAAAATAGAAAATATTAATAATAAATATTTTTGTTTTTTTTTTTTAGTTTTATTTCTAATGTTTTTTTTATTTTTTATTTTTAAATATATAGAAACATGAAGCTTTGATGTATGGACATCGAAAATTTAAATGTGAATGCGTGATTGTAGCATTGGTTCTATTAATTCTCATAACGGTTCTCACAGACCGGTTAAACTAAACCGTCCGGTTGTGATTCGATCTTGGCCCGCCTTCGACTTTCTTCCAACAATCGAAAGATCATTCAGCGTCGTCTTCGTTCTTCTCCAGCTCGCTGCGGGCTAGGGCAACGAAGAAGAAAGCTTGTTCCAATCCCGATTGGCTTCTGTTTCATCTTTTAAATTCACAAACATGCCATTCGTATCGGAAATACAGAGACAATCTGATTTCAATCACTTTTCTCCTACCACTCCCATCGTCATCGACAATGGCGCCTCCTCTTTTCGCATTGGGTATATCCATTTTTTTGGCTACAACTCTTAGAACAAGCTGAATGCACTTTCTTTTTTGATTACATTAATGAACTTTGTGTTCTGTTCTTCCCTGAATTTAGCGCTGTTTGTTGTGTGTGACTCTTTCAGATGGGCGGGAGAGTCCGACCCTCGTGTTATTTTCCGTAACATTGTCCAGAGACCTCGCCACAAAGCCACTGGTATGCTTACTTTTCATCAGTTAACCTGTTAACATTGTTAGTTTGTTTGATTGTCTAGTTGAAGGTCTGCTTCTTATTTTCCCATGGTTGAAGAATTCACACTTCCAAAGTAAAATGAGGAAAGAATCATTGATGAAAATTTACAATTGGTGCTTAGTCTCATTCTTACTCCAGTTCGAACTCTCTGAAAAATTGAGATCCTCCACTCCTGTGGAAAATATCTCCATCTTTGGCTGTGTACTTGAAGCGTATTCTGCTGTTCTTATTGCGATTCAGGTGAAACAGTTACCATTGTTGGAGACCACGAACCGTCTTTGTTGAAATACTTTGATTGCACACGCTCAAGTCCTCGCTCTGCTTTTGATGGCAATGTTGTTTATCAGTTTGAGATTATGGAATACGTAAGTTGGATTATTGTTTTATCTTTTTTTCATTACATTCTATATACCTGAACTAGCCACATTGTCTGAACTTGTTAATTTTATTAAAATTGGAGATATTCGCATGTAGGCAACAATATAAGGCATAAATGTTAGAAGAATGAATGTAGGTGTGAGTAAGTGCATCCCCTTGTGTATTTATGTGAATTAGGAGTGTATAAAGTTGTATCTTTTGATTATTTCCTTGCACCTTTTAGGTTCTTGATTTTGGATTTGATCGGCTGGGAGCAAATGGACCAGAGGTAATTTTGCGAACGTTAAGTTTCAACCCTTTTTTCGTGTCTTATTCTGCCATTCCTCCTTGCCTTTTCTCACCTCTTATTGTTGGTAATACCTGTTGTATCTTTCCAGTCTGATTTTGGGCTCTTGCACTCCATTGATTTCCTGCATAACCCTACTGTTTTGATAGACTCTTGGCATATCTCTGGTTTCTAGCTTGAATTTATATGGTGATGGAGTAAGCTATCTTGGATCCTCCATTTCAGGATAAAGGCCGGCTATTATGGCAAATAGGTTTTGTGCTGTTTGCAATGTCTGGTTGGGAAAAAAAAAAAAAAAAAAAAAAATACAACTTCCTTTTGCGAAATACAACTTCTCTCAGCATAACTTTTTTCTTTGGTTGCATAATTTGGAACTTCTTTTTGGAAGTTATATTTTTCTCTCTGCAATCATCAATACTTGAGGCTGTTTCTTTTAACACTTGTGTTTGTAGACGCTGGTACTTTCAGGGTCATATGTGGTTAAATGAATGTTTGAATTCATAATTTTTATTTGGGTATAAAATTATATATAGTTTGAACATCAATAACAGTATCGAATATGACTTGGACTTG